GATGCTAGACACAAGGGCCCAGCTTCATTAATCTTTGATAACATTAAAGGTGAGTTTAGGGAAAGTATCACAGGTGGATCAGACTATGAAAAATTGCCCCCCTTGGAGTGGGGGTGGGGCCTATTCTTCCCCCTTCATGATGTTAGTAGATAAAAAATGTGCAATCCAAAATCCGTAGAATTTAACATTTGTTATATTCAGAGATTAACACAAGCGTGAATACAGTAATTGGAAAGCTCCAGGTACCTCATGCCAACGGGCCTGAATGGTCTAATAACTGGGTATTCGGTGATGTTGGGGGCATGTTCTCCCACACTACATGACCGAATGCCTAGTTATCAGACCATTCACACCCGTTGGCATGAGGTACCTGGAGCTTTATAATTATTTTATTAACTTTCGTGTTCTTGAAGATATCCTCATATTGCATCCAAAATTTGCCATTGTAGACTCTTGAACATATGGCCCTGTATGACTAACCTTCCTGCGAAATGGGGACTTTTAGCATCACGTAGCTAGTTTTTTGACACACTCTGTACTCCCCTTCATATAGTCTAGGGCAGCTAGTTCTTGACACACACTGTACTCCCCTTCATATAGTCTAGGGCAGCTAGTTCTTGACACACACTGTACTCCCCCTTCATATAGTCTAGGGCAGCTAGTTCTTGACACACACTGTACTCCCCCTTCATATAGCCTAGGGTAGCTAGTTCTTGACACACACTGTACTCCCCTTCATATAGTCTAGGGTAGCTAGTTCTTGACACACACTGTACTCCCCTTCATATAGTCTAGGGTAGCTAGTTCTTGACACACACTGTACTCCCCTTCATATAGTCTAGGGTAGCTAGTTCTTGACACACACTGTACTCCCCTTCATATAGTCTAGGGCAGCTAGTTCTTGACACACACTGTACTCCCCTTCATATAGTCTAGGGCAGCTAGTTCTTGACACACACTGTACTCCCCCTTCATATAGCCTAGGGCAGCTAGTTCTTGACACACACTGTACTCCCCTTCATATAGTCTAGGGCAGCTAGTTCTTGACACACACTGTACTCCCCTTCATATAGTCTAGGGCAGCTAGTTCTTGACACACACTGTACTCCCCTTCATATAGTCTAGGGCAGCTAGTTCTTGACACACACTGTACTCCCCTTCATATAGTCTAGGGCAGCTAGTTCTTGATACACACTGTACCCCCCTTCATATAGTCTAGGGCAGCTAGTTCTTGATACACACTGTACTCCCCTTCATATAGTCTAGGGCAGCTAGTTCTTGATACACACTGTACCCCCCTTCATATAGTCTAGGGCAGCTAGTTCTTGATACACACTGTACTCCCCTTCATATAGTCTAGGGCAGCTAGTTCTTGACACACACTGTACTCCCTTCATATAGTCTAGGGCAGCTAGTTCTTGACACACACTGTACTCCCTTCATATAGTCTAGGGCAGCTAGTTCTTGACACACACTGTACTCCCCTTCATATAGTCTAGGGCAGCTTGAGTACTCTTCATATAGACAGCACACTGTACTCCCCTTCATATAGTCTAGGGCAGCTAGTTCTTGACACACACTGTACTCCCCTTCATATAGTCTAGGGCAGCTAGTTCTTGACACACACTGTACTCCCCTTCATATAGTCTAGGGCAGCTAGTTCTTGACACACACTGTCTAGGGCAGCTAGTTCTTGACACACTGTACTCCCCTTCATATAGTCTAGGGCAGCTAGTTCTTGACACACACTGTACTCACCCTTCATATAGTCTAGGGCAGCTAGTTCTTGACACACACTGTACTCCCCATTAGTCATATAGTCTAGGGCAGCTAGTTCTTGACACACACTGTACTCCCCTTCATATAGTCTAGGGCAGCTAGTTCTTGACACACACTGTACTCACCCTTCATATAGTCTAGGGCAGCTAGTTCTTGACACACACTGTACTCCCCCATATCTAGGGCAGCTAGTTCTTGACACACACTGTACTCTGTAGTTCTTGACACACACTGTACTCACCCTTCATATAGTCTAGGGCAGCTAGTTCTTGACACACACTGTACTCACCCTTCATATAGTCCTAGTTCTTGACACACACTGTACTCCCCTTCATATAGTCTAGGGCAGCTAGTTCTTGACACACACTGTACTCCCCTTCATATAGTCTAGGGCAGCTAGTTCTTGACACACACTGTACTCCCCTTCATATAGTCTAGGGCAGCTAGTTCTTGACACACACTGTACTCCCCTTCATATAGTCTAGGGCAGCTAGTTCTTGACACACACTGTACTCCCCTTCATATAGTCTAGGGCAGCTAGTTCTTGACACACACTGTACTCCCCCTTCATATAGTCTAGGGCAGCTAGTTCTTGACACACACTGTACTCCCCTTCATATAGTCTACCCTTCATATAGTCTAGGGCAGCTAGTTCTTGACACACACTGTACTCCCCCTTCATATAGTCTATGGCAGCAGTTCTTGACACACACTGTACTCACCCTTCATATAGTCTACAGCTAGTTCTTGACACACACTGTACTCCCCTTCATATAGTCTAGGGCAGCTAGTTCTTGACACACACTGTACTCCCCTTCATATAGTCTAGGGCAGCTAGTTCTTGACACACACTGTACTCACCCTTCATATAGTCTAGGGCAGCTAGTTCTTGACACACACTGTACTCACCCTTCATATAGTCTAGGGCAGCTAGTTCTTGACACACACTGTACTCACCCTTCATATAGTCTAGGGCAGCTAGTTCTTGACACACACTGTACTCCCCCTTCATATAGTCCAGCTAGTTCACACACACTGTACTCACCCTTCATATAGTCTAGGGCAGCTAGTTCTTGACACACACTGTACTCCCCTTCATATAGTCTAGGGCAGCTAGTTCTTGACACACACTGTACTCCCCTTCATATAGTCTAGGGCAGCTAGTTCTTGACACACACTGTACTCACCCTTCATATAGTCTAGGGCAGCTAGTTCTTGACACACACTGTACTCACCCTTCATATAGTCTAGGGCAGCTAGTTCTTGACACACACTGTACTCACCCTTCATATAGTCTATGGCAGCTGCATAAATGCACATCTAAATGTGTTAATTTGGGTTTTATTGTCTTTCAAAACACATGTTTATATGACAGATTTTCATTCTGTATGAAACCTCTTTTGGTTAGAGTAACAAGGTGATGGGCAAGTGTGGGAGGGGATGGAGGAAGGGCGTGAAGGGAGAGAGAAGAGTCATGGGAGAGGGTGTGTGGGTAGGGAGTCAGGACACGGGCATGTATGGGCAGGGAAGGGAAGGGGTACACGTGGGAGGGGCATGTCTGGGCAAGAAGGGAAGATGATGGGGGATGGGCTATCCTATCTATAGTAATTCTATATAATAATCATTATACACACGATAACACTAATAATATAGTAGTAAATGGATAGCAAAGAGCGTCGGTAGGGCGAAATTTAATTCATATTCCCAAAAAGAGGAAAAACCTACATTTTTCCATAATTACCGCCATGTAACTGGTGTACCCTCACCGTCCTCATTACGGAGCTTGGGGAGAGCTCCTGCCACGGAGACCCGGGTGTATCTACACCCTGTGCAGGGAGGGAGGTGCTGGGGGTGTATTGTGTGCTGCCACGTGTATCCAAACTCCGTGTCATTAACGTACGCTGCTGGGGTAGAAAAAAAAGGGTTCAAGTCATCGGAAATAAAAAAACATGTCCAAAATGAAGCAGCAAAGCGAACTGTCATGTCTGCTGGGGGGTAAGATATCGTGAGCACTAAACATGTCCTGGCATGGACGTGTATACACCTAAAGTGCATATGTTTGCCTTACTCGTCCACTGGGGGTGTATTTCAAGTGCTACAAGAGTTTGTGTTTAATTGTATACGCACAGTGTGGTTCAGTGTCGCCCCTCCTTACGGTGTATGTTGAAACCACACTCACAGTGTGTTTCAGTGTCTTACGGCGTATGTTGGGTGTGTATACTCACAGTGTGTTTCAGTGTCCTACGGTGTATGTTGGGTGTGTATTTGTGTCCCCCCATACAGTGCATGTTACAATATTCACCCCCATGTATTACTGTATGTTTCAGTCCCCCCTGTATTGTTCCAGTGTACTTCCACTGTGTTTCACTTTATTGTTGTAAGTGTAACAAGCATCTAATGTGTAATATTAAACAGCTGAAAATAATCTAAGACCTCTGCGCTCTAAAATAATACGTTGGCATACACAGGTCAGTAAAATATTTTGCTACAACTAAAAAATAACACTTTTATGTTTTAAGTTTTCTCTGGCACTCTTGTTGGTGGTTTGTGTCGGCGCCGTCCGCCAGACTCCTCCATCACACACACACGCATATATCTCTTCCCTTCACCGCCTTCTGTTTCACACACTCTGTAGTCTGGAGGTGATGCTCTCTCGCTGTATTGTGTTCGCACCATCTGTGACGCTACCGAGCGGGTACTGTACCCGCTCAGTGACGCCACCAAGCGGGTACTCTACCCGACGCCGGTACGCTGTACCAGACGCCGGTACGCTGTACCAGACACCGGTACGCTGTACCAGACACCGGTACGCTGTACCCGATGCTGGTACGCTGTACCCGACGACGCCGGTACGCTGTGACTGTAGACAAAGGATACCTGATCAACCAGGCTGTGACTCATACGTCAGGCTGCGAGCAGCCGCGTCCAACAGCCTGGTTGACCAGTCCAGCAACGAGGAGGCCTGGTCGACGACCGGGCCGCGGGGTCGCTGAGCCCCGAAATCACCTCAAGGTAACCTCAAGGTCAAGGTAAGTCACTAACAACGTCCCGGGGTGCAGTGCCCAGGTGGCTTACATTTTCCATGGTCGGGGACAGGCCGCTTGAACTCTCTTTAATTACTGCTAGGATAAAAGGACACATTCCCAAACGTTTCCGTTCTGCCCAGGGATTGAATCCTGGTCCCCTCGGTTTTTGAGCCGAGGACGTGGAGTATACTTACGATGCCACACTGTGATGATGAATGCGATCTCCGGCCACGTGTATCTTTGTGGCTTGTCGACGGCAATGGTGTTGTGTAATGTGACGAAGGAGTAGGATGGTGGGTGTGGCTCCTGGAGGTGTAGGGGGGGGGGGGGGTTCATCAGTTTGCTCTGACCCTCTCTATTCTAAATGCTATTAGTTCTGACCTAAGGGGAGGGCGGAATGCTATTAGTTCTGACCTAAGGGGAGGGCGGGATGCTATTAGATCTGACCTAAGGGGAGGGCGGGATGCTATTAGTTCTGACCTAAGGGGAGGGCGGGATGCTATTAGATCTGACCTAAGGGGAGGGCGGAATGCTATTAGTTCTGACCTAAGGGGAGGGCGGGATGCTATTAGTTCTGACCTAAGGGGAGGGCGGGATGCTATTAGTTCTGACCTAAGGGGAGGGCGGGATGCTATTAGATCTGACCTAAGGGGAGGGCGGAATGCTATTAGTTCTGACCTAAGGGGAGGGCGGGATGCTATTAGATCTGACCTAAGGGGAGGGCGGAATGCTATTAGTTCTGACCTAAGGGGAGGGCGGGAGGCTATTAGTTCTGACCTAAGGGGAGGGCGGGAGGCTATTAGTTCTGACCTAAGGGGAGGGCGGGATGCTATTAGTTCTGACCTAAGGGGAGGGCGGGAGGCTATTAGTTCTGACCTAAGGGAGGGCGAGAGGCTATTAGTTCTGACCTAAGGGGAGGGCGGGAGGCTATTAGTTCTGACCTAAGGGGAGGGCGGGAGGCTATTAGTTCTGACCTAAGGGGAGGGCGGGATGCTATTAGTTCTGACCTAAGGGGAGGGCGGGAGGCTATTAGTTCTGACCTAAGGGGAGGGCGAGAGGCTATTAGTTCTGACCTAAGGGGAGGACGGGATGCTATTAGTTCTGACCTAAGGGGAGGGCAGGATGCTATTAGATCTGACCTAAGGGGAGGGCAGGATGCTATTAGTTCTGACCTAAGGGGAGGACGGGATGCTATTAGTTCTGACCTAAGGGGAGGGCGGGAGGCTATTAGTTCTGACCTAAGGGGAGGGCGGGATGCTATTAGTTCTGACCTAAGGGGAGGGCAGGATGCTATTAGTTCTGACCTAAGGGGAGGGCGGGATGCTATTAGATCTGACCTAAGGGGAGGGCAGGATGCTATTAGATCTGACCTAAGGGGAGGGCAGGATGCTATTAGTTCTGACCTAAGGGGAGGACGGGATGCTATTAGTTCTGACCTAAGGGGAGGGCGGGATGCTATTAGTTCTGACCTAAGGGGAGGACGGGATGCTATTAGTTCTGACCTAAGGGGAGGGCGGGATGCTATTAGTTCTGACCTAAGGGGAGGACGGGATGCTATTAGTTCTGACCTAAGGGGAGGGCGGGATGCTATTAGTTCTGACCTAAGGGGAGGACGGGATGCTATTAGTTCTGACCTAAGGGGAGGGCGGGAGGCTATTAGTTCTGACCTAAGGGGAGGACGGGATGCTATTAGTTCTGACCTAAGGGGAGGGCGGGAGGCTATTAGTTCTGACCTAAGGGGAGGACGGGATGCTATTAGTTCTGACCTAAGGGGAGGACGGGAGGCTATTAGATTGACCCGGACAGGGAAAGGCGGGGTTCTTTATTTTGATCTTGAGGGAGACTATGAACCGCTGGCAGCACCAATATGCAAATAATCCAGCTCAGCCCAGCTTGCCTGGACACCAGTATCCCTGGATACCAGTATCCCTGGATACCAGTATCCCTGGACACCAGTATCCCTGGATACCAGTATCCCTGGATACCAGTATCCCTGGATACCAGTATCCCTGGATACCAGTATCCCTGGACACCAGTATCCCTGGATACCAGTATCCCTGGATACCAGTATCCCTGGATTACCCCGTGTCTCAGGTCTCCTGTGTCTCTGCCCGCGGCCTCCGGGTTACTTTCACTCACTATTGGTAACGGTCGGGAGGGTTTGGCCCATGTTCTGTGTTTTTCCTCGTTCTCCTTGCCTTACTTCGCTACGTTTGATATTAGTCTCGAGGGAGAATACTAAAACATGTGTGAGGTGGATGCCGCTGAGGGGTGGCCGTGTGTAGGCATGGCCAGGTGTAGGCGTGTAACACTGCGGGATGGCCTTCATACACAAATCTCTCTGGGGACTGGAAATCTCTTTGTAATAAATACAATATCACAGGATGTGTCCGTACAAAGAGTGGCGGCTCCGGCTTGGGCTTCAAACAAGATATCAAAGACCCGACAAAACCCCCACACCGGCTCCCAAACATTCCTCTTAAAGCTTCCTCAACCACACCTAACTACACCGAATACTACACAAACAATAAGATAAACAAGGAGAAAAACAAAAAACACATCGACCCAAGCCAATAATCGAAGGCATTTCCCAATGGTCTTTTGAGGATTAAAACTAAACTTTGAGGAACTAAATACCATAACAACATTAATTCTGATTTAATCCCAAGCCCAAGAGACCAAAGTTGATACCGAACCTTTTAGACAAGGGATTGTGATCTGCGGCGATCCCTTCTCTCTAAGGGGGAGTGGGGGGGGGGGGGGCAAGGGGTTCAGTCAGGTTCAGTGAATGTCACAGGCAAGCATCTGGAAACCACTACTAACTACCACCATTGCAACAACCACCACAACCACTACCACCATTGCAACCACCACCACAACCACTACCACCATTGCAACAACCACCACAACCACTACCACCATTGTAACAACCACCACAACCACTACCACCATTGCAACAACCACCACCACAACCACTACCACCATTGTAACAACAACCACCACAACCACTACCACCATTGTAACAACAACCACCACAACCACTACCACCATTGTAACAACAACCACCACAACCACTACCACCATTGTAACAACAACCACCACAACCACTACCACCATTGTAACAACAACCACCACAACCACTACCACCATTGTAACAACAACCACCACAACCACTACCACCATTGTAACAACAACCACCACAACCACTACCACCATTGCAACAACCACCACAACCACTACCACCATTGTAACAACAACCACCACAACCACTACCACCATTGTAACAACAACCACCACAACCACTACCACCATTGTAACAACAACCACCACAACCACTACCACCATTGCAACAACCACCACAACCACTACCACCATTGTAACAACAACCACCACAACCACTACCACCATTGTAACAACAACCACCACAACCACTACCACCATTGTAACAACAACCACCACAACCACTACCACCATTGTAACAACAACCACCACAACCACTACCACCATTGTAACAACAACCACCACAACCACTACCACCATTGTAACAACAACCACCACAACCACTACCACCATTGTAACAACAACCACCACTACCACTACCACCATTGCAATAACAACCACCACTACCACCACTGCAACTACCACCACAACAACTACCACCATTGCAATAACAACCACCACTACCACCACTGCAACTACCACCACAACCACTACCACCATTGCAATAACAACCACCACTACCACCACTGCAACTACCACCACAACCACTACCACCATTGCAACAACAACCACCACCACCACTACCACCACTGCAACTACCACCACAACCACTACCACCATTGCAATAACAACCACCACTACCACCACTGCAACTACCACCACAACAACTACCACCATTGCAATAACAACCACCACTACCACCACTGCAACTACCACCACAACCACTACCACCATTGCAACAACAACCACCACCACCACTACCACCACTGCAACTACCACCACAACCACTACCACCATTGCAATAACAACCACCACTACCACCACTGCAACTACCACCACAACAACTACCACCATTGCAATAACAACCACCACTACCACCACTGCAACAACCACCACAACCACTACCACCACTGCAACAACCACCACAACCACTACCACCATTGCAATAACAACCACCACTGCAACAACCACCACAACCACTACCACCACTGCAACAACCACCACAACCACTACCACCACTGCAACAACCACCACAACCACTACAACCATTGCAATAACAACCATCACTACCACCACTGCAACAACCACCACAACCACTACCACCATTGCAACAACCACCACCACTACCACTCACTGGTCACCTCAGCAAAACCCAATATAAACTTTCCTGCTCAGTGGAGAATCTTGAAAATGCAATACGATTGAAAAGCTGCCTTGCAGTCTGCTTGATCTGCTGCTGTCTGCTTGATCTGCTGCTGTCTGCTTGATCTGCTGCTGTCTCTTTGGTCTGCTCCTCCCCCTGCTTAATCTGCTGCTGCTCTTGGCATGGTCTGCTGCAGCCTCTCTGGTCTACTCCTGCCTGTTAGGTCTACTCTTGTCTGCTTGGTCTGCACCTGTCTGCCAGATCTGCTGCTATCTGCTTCACCTGCATCTTCTTGCTAGGTGTGCTGCTGTGTGTTTGATCTACTGCTTGCTTAGTCCGCTGCAGCCTGCTTGGTCTGCTCCTGTCTGCTTGGTCTGCTCCTGTCTGCTTGGTCTTTTACATACACAAACCAATATATCTGTTGTATTATGCATGATCCTCACTGTCCTGTGTGCTCACCTATTTATACTCACCTATTTGTGCTTACGGGGGTTGAGTTCTGGCTCTTTGGTCCCGCCTCTCAACTGTCAATCAACAAGTGTACAGGTTCCTGAGCCTATTGGGCTCTATCATATCTACACTTGAAACTGTGTATGGAGTCAGCCTCCACCACATCACTTCCTAATGCATTCCATTTGTCAACCACTCTGACACTAAAAAAATTCTTTCTAATATCTCTGTGGCTCATTTGGGCACTCAGTTTCCACCTGTGTCCCCTAGTGCGTGTGCCCCTTGTGTTAAATAGCCTGTCTTTATCTACCCTATCAATTCCCTTGAGAATCTTGTATGTGGTGATCATGTCCCCCGAACTTCTGTTTTCCAGCGACGTGAGGTTTAATTCCCGTAGTCTCTCCTCGTAGCTCATACCTCTCAGTTCGGGTACTAGTCTGGTGGCAAACCTTTGAACCTTTTCCAGTTTAGTCTTATGCTTGACTAGATATGGACTCCATGCTGGGGCTGCATACTCCAGGATTGGTCTGACATATGTGGTATACAAAGTTCTGAATGATTCCTTACACAAGTTTCTAAATGCCGTTCTTATGTTGGCCAACCTGGCATATGCCGCTGATGTTATCCTCTTGATATGGACTGCAGAGGACAGGTCTGGCGTGATATCAACCCCCAAGTCGTTTTCTCTCTCTTAGACTCTTGAAGAATTTCACCTCCCAAATGATAACTTGTATCTGGCCTCCTGCTCCCTACACCTATCTTCGTTACATTACATTTGCTTGAGTTAAACTCTTAACAACCATTTGTTCGACCATTCCTTCAGCTTGTCTAGGTCTTCTTGAAGCCTCAAGCTGTCCTCCTCTGTCTTAATCCTTCTCATAATTTTGGCATCGTCAGCATACATTGAGAGAAATGAGTCTATACCCTCTGGGAGATGATTTACGTATATCAGAAATTCACATTCAGAAAGTCACATTCACTGTGTGATAGTGAATATAAGGAGCATCCTCACTGTCCTGTGTGACGGTGAATATAAGCAGCATCCTCACTGTACTGTGACAGTGAATATAAGCACCATCCTCACTGTCCTGTGTGACAG